GCCTGGCGCGAGGCGTCTCCGGGTCTGGGCGCCCTCAGCCGCACAACCTCTCCCTACCCGAGCCAGCCGGGCTCCCGGGCCCTTCCGTGGGGCCTGGGCGGGAACACATCACCAATATCGCAATCTCATTGGTTAGCTCTGCGTGCCATTCAGCCGTGCACTGACGTCCCGTTGGCCACAACAGCACGCGCTCTAAATTTGGGCGTATTTGTCCTCCTCTGGCTGCCTCGCGAGCCCGGACCTTGCCGACGTTCCCGGAGTCCCGACGGGCCACGCGCCCTTCCTTCGCCGGCTGAGACAGCAGCCTCCGCGAAAGTGAAAAAAACAAAAGTTCGGAGCTCCAGAGAAAACAAAATAAAGCAAATAGAAATGAGGAAAGTGTCAGCAAAAACCGACTTATGGAAAGGCAAAGCAAACAACTAAACTAAAAAGGTGAGTCCAAGAAAAGAAAAACATGAATTTAATTTCATTATACTATTTCAGGACTTCGGTTGGCAAGCACGAATTTTCTCTTTAGGTCGCCTTTCCTATGTAAAGACAGCAGGGGGCACTAGAGGCCAGGAGTTTTCATCTAGGCCTGCACTTTAACCTTACCAGAGCTGTTCTCAACCATCACACTGTAGTTTTCTCTTGGCAAGTGGGGAAAACTACGTGGAAGAACGATTCCTGCACCACATCGTGTAAAGAGTACAGTTTCCCAAAACTCTATGACAGGAGCAGGAAATGCCAGTTACGGGACATGATGGGGAATTTTGAGGTGGGCTCAGAGGGAGGAAAAGTGGAGAGTGATCATCGGAATATAGGCTGACTCTCGGGCCTAGGTCAGCCATCTGAACCCAGATGAACTTTTGCCAAGAGCATGGGGCTTTCTATGTTAAGACTGAGACCGAACGGTTTCCCTGGACATGGGATTTTCCTAGCGAATAAGCGATGATTGTAACAACAGCTAGCCTTAATCAGTGGCTACTGTGCACCAGCCGCTGTTCTAAGTGTTTCACAGGTATCAGTTCTTCAGAATCACCACCCGAGGCGGATACTAACTAACCTCCCATGTTAGAGGAGGAAACTGAGGCAAATTGCTCAAGGTCATGCAAAGATGTGTCAGATTCAGGTTTAAGAAGAGTATATTCAGGCTCCATGGTTGGTCTGCCTGGGTGTAAACTGTTGCATCTGTTCATTATTTTCTTTCTTTCTCTTTTAGTCTCATGCTCCAAATACTTAATTTTGTCCCAAATCGCACAGAAACACATTGCTTTAACCCTCATCTGAGGTGGAATCTACTGGTTAGAGTTCTTTCTTGATGGAAAAGAATAGTGATGTACCTTCCACAATTTCTAGTGTCAATTTTTGTTTTGTTTTGAATTTTTATTAGTATATGTTTGTGACACATAACAAATACATTCATCATCGGATATTAGTGCATGCACATATTACATCTTGATCCTTTTTATTTCCTCTCTCCCTTCCTTGCTGCCTTCCCCTTTCCCCACATTCCCTTCCCATTTCCATAAAATCTATCTTCCATTCCCTATCATCTTTTATTTTGCTCTCTAAATTATTTATACATTGAGTTTTTCGTATAAGAACAACTATGCATCATATCTCTTCCTCATACCAGAGAGCACGTTGCATTATGTCTAACATAGGAAACGCACATTCATGTTTGCCATTACTATTAACAGAGTGGTGCCTCTTCCCCAGCAGCTTGAGTTCTCATGGAAGAGGTTGGCGAGACTCACAAAGCAGCAGAGGTACCTATCAAATGGGTGAGTGGGACAGATGATAGGTGCACATGAGCAGTAAGAAGAAGGAACAGAGGTGAACTGGAACACCCAGAGATGTGGCTTACAGGTTGCTGGGTGGAGTACCTGCTTAAAATTCTGTGTGGCCAACCTCCATGCCGCTAGTAGAATACAGTCTGACCTGAATTTCTTAGCTGATCATTATATTCTTTGAGTTTGATTATCATATGCGTGTGTGTTTAAAAATATTTCTTACCAAAATTCAATGAAGGAGTGTTGTGACATCTGGTTTGAGTTTGATTATCATATGCGTGTGTGTTTAAAATATTTCTTACCAAAATTCAATGAAGGAGTGTTGTGACATCTGGGAGCTTGGGGCGTGGTTTTGTTTTGTTTCTGGCTAAAGGAAGCATGCATTAATTTATTATGTTTTGGAAGAAACATTTATTATTTTCACAGATATTTTTCTGTTAGATGTCAAGCCCTGGAGAAAGGCTCAGAAATAAACGGAGTGCCCGTGTGAAGACTAACTGGAGTGGGGATGTGAAGGGATATTACTTTAATTAAAACCTGAAGTCTGAAAGGGAGCCGATGGGCAAGCAGCTGGGAGAACCACATTTTGGGCTAGAGAAATGGCCAATGGAAGGCTCTAGGTGGGGAGAGGTCTCCAGGACTTGTGAGAACAAAATGAGGGCCCCTGGGGCTGGAGGAATCTGAATTCTAGGCAGAGGGAGTTGGCTCAGAAACAGCTGTGTTCACAGAGAGCCAGGGCTGAGTTTTCCTGTCTCTAAGTTGTCTATTTACATCATCTGGACTGTGCAGTCTCCAGGTGTTGCTGAGTGGAAACTTTACATCATGGGGTGAAAGATAATCTTCACGTGCAGCTTGTTTCCTATGGGTTGTCTTTAACTGAACTTAATGTTGTGCACCTATGTATGTTTAGGGCCTGACAAGTGTGTCTCAAGTGAAGTGACTCCTGGTTCCTCTGTTTTGTTTAATTATAAAAAAAAATGGGCTCTTTTATGGCAAATGGATTTTCATGCATTCTCTAACGCACATGGAGAATACAACTTCATCTACCCAAAAGAAATTTCTTGTAAATTAAAAAAATACATATATTAAAGATAGCTCAGTTTTTCCTATTTCATTAGTCCCCATGATGCCACTACTGATTCCCAGAGTGTAGAAATTGCATAGAAAATCAGCTTTGGCATGGTGGCTCACGTCTGTAATCCCAGCACTCAGGAGGCTGAGGCAGGAGGATCGCTGTGAGTTCGAGACCAGCCTGAGCTACATAGTGAGTTCCAGGTCAGTCTCAACTACATAGTGAGACCCTGTCTCAAAAAACCAAAAAAAAAAAAAAATCAGCTTTGGGTAAGAAAGATTTGATTTTGATTTACACAGTTAATCCTTGTATCTTTTTTTCAGCCCTCTTTGAGCAAAGGAACCTTTGTGCATTAAAAATGGCATCCTTCAGGAAAAGCAGATTATCATGTCTGAGAAGGCTGACTCTTCTCATTACACTAATGCTACTCTACAAATACATTTATCAATGTTTTTATTTGAAAGAAAAAGTCCCAAGAGAAGGCTTAGACCAAAAAGTGTGCCAGGTGTGGTGGCACATAACTATAAACCCAACATTTGTGAGGCTGGAGCAGGAGGATTGCTATGATTTTGAGGTCAGCCTGAGCTACATAGTGAGATCAAAGCTGCCTGAATGTCATAGCAGGACCCTGACACCCCATACCCCGCAAGAGTAGAGCATGATACTGCCTGAAACGTGCAATTGAGGGACCTTTAAAAGTCCTCGCCAGGAGCTGGGGATTTAGCTCAGTAGTGTCACAAGCCTTGCAAGCCCAAGGTCCTGAGTTCAATCCCCAGTACCACACACACACACACACACACACACACACACACACACACGCAAAGTCTTCTCAGTGGTATAAGTGATGTAAAGGTCAAATTAGGGGCAAGTTTTCTGCCATTATTTCTTTGAACAGGCTTTTTGTGACATTTGCACTATGTCCAGCTTTCTCATTGACTTCAGTCAATCCTGTATTATTTTTCTTTTTATTATCTTGCAGCTATTGGATTCATTTTCCATGGTCTTTTGCCATTTTTAAAACAGCTTTATTTTCATGGTCATTAATCACAGTCCTGTTTTCTAGATCAGAAATTCTGTCTTTCATTTAATCTATTATGTATACTTTCAATGGAATTTTTAATCTGCCGGATATCTGTTTGAATCTGTTTCATCCCTATGTTGAACATTTATAGTTTCTGTCATTTTGCTGTTCCTCTAGTTTTCTTTCTTTTTTAAAATAATTAATTTATTGGTACATTTAAGATATACAATATAATGACATTCATCATTTTAAATTTGCATCTTTTCATAATCCATCTTGGTTCATATTTTTTCCCCATTCCCCTGCCCTCCCTTTAATCTCTCCCTCCCTCCCTATCTACAAAGGCTTTGTTTCCATTTTTTCATTTTCTCGTATTTAATTCTTTTCTTTCCTTTCCTGCCCCTCCCACTTCTCCTTTCCCTTTTCCCCCTTTCTTCCTATTTCATATTATTATTACTTTTAGTCTTATTTACACTTTCAATTTCTCACAGTAGTGAAACTTCAATATTTACACATATGTGTCTTATTTATTTCACTTAGGAGTATCACCTCGATGTGCATCCATTTAGCTATAAATATCTCTAATTTCTCATACTGAGTAGTACTCCATTTTATTTAAAACAAACAAACAAAAAAACCCCACGTTTTCTTTATCCAGTCTCAAGTTAATGGGCAGTTAGGCTGCTTCCAGGTTTTAGCTATTACAAATAGCTGTGATGCTATGAACCTGGGTACACATATATCACTGTGGTATGATTTTTTTAATTCTTTGGGGAAGATACCCAGCAAGAGAGTAGCTGGATCAAATGGGACTTCCAATCCTAGTTCTTTGAGGTATCTCCATACTGATTTCCACAGTGGTTGCACCAGTTTACACTCCCACCAGCAGTGGAGCAGGGTTCCTCTTTCCCCACAGAACAGCCAGCATTAGTTATTGGTTGATTTCATGATAGCAGCCATTTTTTCTGGGGTGAGGTGGAATCTCAGCTTTGTTTTCATCTGCATCTCTCAAGTGACCAGTGATATTGAACATTTTTTCATATGTTTATTTTCTATTTCTACTTCTCTGTCTGAGAAATGTCTGTTCATTTC